TCCCTGTCTCCCTGGTGCTGCAGGGATAAAGAAGGCTTTATGTACACCGAACGTCTCCCTTCCAGGATCCTCTTCCCTTGTGTGCGTGCTGGTGGATGGTGAAGGTTTGTGGCCAAAAATACGAACACCCAGAACTCCCACTTTGGCTCTAACCATACACTGGGAAGGGTAACCGACCCGACCCTTTTCCTGGAGGTGTACAACACTTCGTGTGTTGTGCTTGACCTCATCAAAGCAGGTCACATACTGGGGGGTGGCTCATCCCTGCCCTGGCACAGGGCCGGGTGTAGGAAGAAATGCCCGCTTCTCCTTAGCGAAGGCTGGCGAGCATCGCTGTGACCTTGGAGAGGTCATGACAGTGGAGCTGGGGGCACTGTAACCTCTCAAGCTACCCAGTTTCTGCCTGTGCATTCTTATATACCCTCTGATGGCTTTTGTGGGTTGCATCTTTAAATCTGTGCGTTATTTCAGCTGATGCAAATAAAAATCTCCACTTTTGTGCAGGTGAGTTGATTACCCTTGCTGTGCTTACCAAGCCAACAGTAATGGTTGTGATTAATCACACGAGTCCAGGCCTAGTGTCTACGGAGCTTTTGAACTAAATCAGCTTAAAATCTTAGGGTGTATTGTTTAAGTTAAACCGATGCAGCTTGCTGATGTAAACAAGCCATTACAGCTGCTTTGCAGCTCGGAGCAGCGATCCCAGTGTCCAGTAAATTGTGCTGGGAGGTTAAAAGTTAGTTGATACAGGTGGGCTGTGTTTTGGAAAGATGGTCTGGAGGTGGATGTATGTTGTGGGATGGCTAGGGCTTCCTGGAAGAGTCACAGCTCAAATTCAGCTCTCTTAATGCGCGTTTTCTTTTCAAAGACGAAGAGGAGAAAGTGGTCGGTAACATCTTGTTTGGGGGGAGGTGGAGTGGTGATTCAACTTGAAAGCAATTTAGCTGAGCATTTTAAATATGCCAGACTTTTTTTTTTCCCCAGAGATTTCTTCCTAATAATTTTGTAGTGTGTGTGTTTATTCATGCAGTGTGTTTCTTATTAATCATGATGTTAATGTTTTTCCATTTGAGTAGGGTTTTATTACAGGAGTTCCCAAAACGCACTGTGTGTGTTTAACACAAATGATTTGACTGAAACTCCAGTCACCTCTGGGACAGGTTTGTTTACCCATAGTGCTTTCCGTCTTACACGAAGGAAAGGGGGTCAGGAGGTTTAAGCAAGATTAATTTCTCCTAATTTCACATGTCCACCGATTTAAAACAATGGCAATGCTCTTTCTCCCACATCCACAGACCCTTGTCTCTGTGCTAAAGGAGGTGTTTGTCATAACAGCCACAGGGAAACCTTTAATTAGTTTATTTGTGCTCCAAATGCAAACTGAGACCTAATAATTCTGCCAATTACTTTCTTGTACTGTGAGTGCCAATTTCCAACCTTAGAGAGCCCACACATGCATCTGTCAGCTTCGTTTCACATGTATCCAAGAGCAGGAGGATTTAACTTGCTGTGGAGGCAGTCCAGTTGAATGGAGGAAACGCTTTGAGTCAGGCTGGCCTGCTGCCTGCTGAATTTTGTCAGCTTCTTGAAGGTTCTTACCTACAGGAAGGATAGCAACAAATAATTCAGATGATAGGGCAAACCACTGCTGTCTGGCCAAAACCAAGCTCTAGAATTTAGCCACCATAAGGAGGTGTGTAGCCACAATAAGGATGGTGCAACATCAGGCTGCAACTGCAACATCCCTTATTTCTTCCTCCAGCTGTTGTGGTTCACACCCCACAATTGGAATGGCTAAAGGATCCTGGTCTCCTTCCTGGCCATCAGGGTTTTCTTTCTTTGGTAGATGCAAAGTACAGAGCCATATGGCTGTATCTGCACTCTGGTGGGGGTGGGGGACTAATCCTCTGGCACTTATCCTGCCTGTGCGAGTAGCTCCCAGTCATCTTTCTGCAGTTCTCCGTGCAAGCAGTGTGACTCCTGCCGGGAGCAGCAGCCCTGACGAGGGGCAGCGAGCCCCAGGCTTGCAGCGTTCCCCAGCCAGCACAGCATCTGTGTTCTTTTCTACGGCCACTTCTGCCACTTCACTACCTCTCCTTGGCCTCCTGACTCCACAGATTATCTCGCAGCCATTGTGCACATTTTATGTAACACACTCTCTGAGTTTTGACTGATATTTTTTTTTTTCCCCTCTTATAGGTGAAGGGAGATATCCTATGAGCAACATAAGCCTCTTGTATTCAAAGCCTTCAGTCTGATCTCAGTATTTCACAAACTACTTTCCTATTTCGATGTGTGCTGGCTCTTCCTTCTCTTCCCCCTCCCCTCCTCCAAGTCTGGAAAGCTAGAGAGAAGCCCTTTTCCCCTCTTGGCCAGGATGCTATTCAGCCGTAGCACATACAGCCAGATTGTTAACATATGGGCAGAGGGCTCAGCCAAAGTTTTGAGAGGCTCAGCCCTTGGCAGCTCATTCCACACTTTCCTGTCTCTGCATTCAGGAAATGAAGTCAGAGTGTTGATATAAACCAGGCTGGGTTGAAAACTGAGAAGCTAGAAAGCCTGAAGTGGGGGACTGGGAAGGGGGAGGTGTGGGGAGATGGAGAGCGGCAGGGGCTCGTCGCAGCACGGGTTGCCCTGTAGTACGTGTGGGCTGGGGGCTCGTTGCCTTGTGCCAGTGTCTTCTCTTTGATGGCTCTTGCTGCCTCAGAGCCAGAGGACTGATCTCTCCTCCGGTTTATGGAAAGACCAGCGTGCAGGGATAGTGTTGTCTTGATTAGGCAGCGGCATTTATGCAAGAGCTTGCAAAGGGTGAAAGCTGAAACTCTGGCAAAGAGTGTGTATTTCCATGTCTGGGACACGGGATTCCCTTGCCTTTTGACTGTTTTCCTGAAGAGTGACTCTGTTGCTAAATTTCTATGGAATGATGTGGTTCTGATGCAGAATGATTTTTCCCAGACAGCTTTAACATCAGTTATTTTACTAGCCCGGAGACTGGGGGGTGGATGCAGGGAGTTCCAGTTCAGTGAGACTGCAGTGGGGATGGTCTGCCTTGCCTAGGGACCTAGCTGGTGCACTTCAGATCTAGGTCACCAGATCAACCTAAACCAGCATAGTAACAACCCAAAGGAATCAAGCTGGAAGCTGTTTCTGGCTTACAGAACCTGGAGTGGTCTGGGTGGCTCTGAGACCAGTACCTGGCTGACAAGGTGTCCCATCACAAAAATGTGTGACCACCTCTAATATAGACTGATCAACAGCATTAAAAAAAAAAAACAAAACAGGGAGACTTGCTTGGAAGAGCGCTCCTGCTTCCGTAGCCTGGCATTTTTGAGAGGGAATGGAGAGTTTGGCAGCTACCGGAGTGATCTCTTGTATTTTCGAGATGCTGGCTCCTGGGATATTCTTGTTGCATGCATTCTGTAACGGACTGGTATAGTTTGATCTTTGAGATGTGTCTGAACTATGTCGTGTCTGATATCCTCAGCAAACTTAACTGAAACTTCAGAGGATGTTAGCCTGGACTTGCCATCCTCTGGGTGTTTGAGCTCAGCAGCTTTGTCTTCCTTATCTACTGCTCTGCCCTGCCTCTCTTTTCTAGCCAGCTCATCAGAATCTCTGCTCACTGACAATCTCCGTTTTCCGTTCTTGTTTCCCCTGACAGCAATCATGTTTTGTCTTTTCCAGCCAAGAAAGGGCTACGAACACGCGACGTGCTCGCAAGGGGACAGTCACACGTGCGTGCCTGCACACAAATGTATGCTCTGCTTCGATTTCAGTCTCAGAGAGCTGCATTCTGCCTTTTGGAGACCAGTGTGATGGCTCCCTCTCTTGTTATCTCGGGGTATAATACCCAGCTGGAACAGGATGTTCCAAATGGGGACTTTAAACCAAACTCACTTTTGTTAATTTGATACAGATCCAGATTTGAGACTAAGCAGGAAGAAGGATTTCTGAGAGAGTTTCTGAATGTAAATATAAAAATTAAGATCAAGTTTGTTTAAAATACGATATCCAAGGTAAAAAATGTTGAGGTTGGTTTTTGGATACCTTGTTCTGTGTTTAGCTGGAGATGTCTGAAGAACCAGACTGGAGGGTTGTGAGTGCAGTTACACTGAAAATGAGTCCCTTAAAGCTCTCTGAGTCTGGTCACCCTGGTTTTGAACATTGACCAAGAATAAACTGCCCATGTTGCTTGAGCTTCTAATCACTCAGAGCATGATGTTTTCATTAATGAGTGTCGTTACTTGTTCTTTTCAACACAGGCGGCCTTCAGGTAACCTTACAATAACTTGTATTATTGTAGCCAGACCTGCTCTTTGATTTTCTGATGCATATTTATTACTGCTTAATTAATACTTTAAAAGGGTTCACAGTGACCAGTAGCGTGTAGGACAGTGACAGGATGAAGTGGGCAAGTCAGCTGTTCTGAAAAGGTGAATTTAAGTTGATACAGTCCATAACTTTTGTGTCAAACCAGCTTCTCCATCTCATGCCTGGCTTTCCTGGAGCCTGGATACAGGCTCGTAGTGATTAAAACACTGAAGTGGGGCTGTGAGGGCTGCTTGCCCCCCTCTGAGCAGCAGCAGTGCATCCCCCATGGATGCTGTCCTGAAAAGAGGTACGAGGAGCCTTTCCCAGGCAGACCTGCTCTGGGTGTCACGTGGCTGGTGAGGGTCTTGGTGCTGGTTGACCCCTTGCTGGGCAGAGTGAGGGCCTCGATGCTGATCACAGCCTGGAGAACAGGGACGGGGCCGTGCTGCTGCCTGCTCCTGGAAGAGTTAATGGTGCAGGGTTGTTGAGCCACGACACAAAAGCAGTCAGAAGGGACAAACTCTTGTTTCTCGAGGTCCCTTTTCTCACAGACTTAAGGGACCAGAGGACCTGGGCTGAGAATGCCTCCCTGGTGATGTGGAGGCTGTATTGCTGGCAGACTCCCTGACGCTGGTAACGTAGAGGCCTTGTTGGAGCAGTGAGTGACTTGTTATCTATCCCCTTTTCAGGAGAAGGAAAAGAAGTACATGTTACCAGTGGATAACCTGAAACTGCGTGATGTTGAGAAGGGGTTCATGTCCAGCAAGCACATCTTTGCTCTCTTCAACACTGAACAGAGGTGAGCTCACTCTCAACATGCCAAGCTCTTGGAGCTAGGGATAGGATGTATGTAATACTGTGATATTAGTTAGGAGGGAGTAGAGATGAGTGTGTTGGGATAGCTGTCCACGAAAGACATGTATCCTTTAAGGATAGTCATTTTTGGAGGAGATGGGGGACTCCTTTTAAAAAGCTTGACTTAATTCTTTTTGGATTGGGCTGTGGCTGGAGTATATAAACAATGTTCTTAATGAATGACTGTGGAAAGCCATAGGAAATAGGGGACCCAGGTTGGCTGGAGAAGTCCAGCAGTGAGCAGAAATGAAAAGGGAATCTTTCAGGCCCTGTTGAAACACACCTGACCTGGGGGCAATCAAACTTGCTCATAAAAAAATTCACTTCCTTTCCCTTCTGCAGGATCCTCATGAGGATACTAGCAAGGGAGTAAGGGTCTCTGCCTTAACCACAGGAAGATTCCCTGCCCATTGACATCTTTGTCAAATCTGGGCAGATGTTTGATTTGCAATAGAGCAGAATAACATGTCTGTCTTCCTCCCAGGAATGTTTACAAGGACTACCGGCAGCTGGAGCTGGCCTGTGAGACCCAGGAGGAGGTGGATAGCTGGAAGGCTTCCTTCCTTCGTGCAGGAGTCTACCCAGAGCGTGTTGGGGTAAGTTACAGCCATAATAATGGGATGAGAAGAAACACAGCATGTATCTTAAGAAGGATAGTTGCATTCTCTCATGTTAAAAATAAGTCAGTGAAGGGTTTTCTGTTTCCTGACCTGAGGACGTTTTGGAGCAAAATTTTAAGTTTTCAGTGTGTCCTGGTGCTTCCTTTAAGGAAGCTTGGGATAAAGTAACTGGCAGCTTCAGTGGAGAGAGAAAGTAGGCCAAGACTGCCTGGATAAACCCTTCTAGCTCTGTTTTGTAGGCATTAAATTCCCAATGCAAGGAGGATATTTAACTACCTGACTACTAAGTGGCATGTGTCATCTGAGCAAAGGCACAGTTTCTTTTCAGTGACATTGTACAGCCATGTTAGGAGCTTTCTGGCTTATTAGCATTTGTTCTCCCATTCCTTCCCCCACCCAAATAGGAAGGGATGTTCTTTGATTTTTTCCTTTGCTTAGTAGATACCTTAACGTGCTGCTTCAGCAAGACCACTTATCTCTTCCCTTAGCCTTGTCCCACAACACTTGCTGTCAGCATTATGCTCTGCTTTAAAAGTATGTTCTAGAGAATTGTGGCACGTGTTCTTGTTCAAAGCCTTCCTGTTCCTCTGCGAGAGGAAGATGCTATAAATTGTTTTCCTATTAGAAAAGTGATAACAGCTTATCTATTTGTATTTGATTCTGATAGACTTGCATTCATCTTTCCTCTTACACTTGAAGACTGTTTGTTGCCCTAAAGCATGTCCCGACAAACTGATGTGATATTAAAAAAAAAAAAAAGAGGATTGGGGACTGGACCTTGATAGTGATATGACTTCAAACTGGCTTTGAACCAGACTGGGCCTCTTACACACTGGCAGGGGACCTGTGCCACCTACTGGTGTGCAGAGGAGTGGTTTGACGTGGGAGCATTGACTAGTTGACTGTCCCAAAACCCTGTGAAACGAATAACAAGTGGCCATTGTAGGTAAGTAAATTGGCCTTTCTTGCGAAGCGTGTGTTTCCTTTGCAGAGCGTCGCGTTTTGATTTTCAATTTAGCTAAACAATTTACTTGTTCCCCTTCCAAGGTAATCTAGGTATTTTTGGGATTGATCTTTTAACTTGTTCAGTGTTATTATGGGATCTTCTCTGAATTCTGAGACGAACTAAAAGTGATCTTTTTTTTTTTTTTTGTCCCTTTTTGTTTTAATTTTTTCCACATATGCTCAAACTGGTATGCCAGGACAAGGACAAAGTAAGTCTGACGCTCTCTCTCTCTCTGTTGCCTCCTGGGGCTCTCACCAGATACAGTCTCTTCTTGTTTCCTTTTATCAGTTTCCCGAGAGGCATTTGCTGCTTCCCCTTTGTACCTCTGTTGGATTGCTGGTGTTTGGTTCTGTTCTTGGTTTGAGTTTTCCTTTTTTCTTTTTATTTCTCCATTCTTGTATGACACTCAAATTTTGGTGCAAACTTATTTTTGCAGTTTTGACCCTCTTTTAAGTTATCCTGTTTGACATCCACTTCCTTTACTTTGTTTCTCACTGAGGCCTTGCATTCCTTCATTATGTAAGGGCTTCCCAGGAAAAGCTCAAATGAACAAAAGAATTTGCCCTTTCTCATATATTTTGTTCCCCCAAACAAAAGATCAACTATTTCCTACACTGCTGCAAATCCTTCAGACTGGACTGTTTAAAAATCCCTTGATTTTATAAAGACAAAGCTTTCTTTTAAAAATAAGCATGGAGAAAGACAGCAGGTTTTTGTGCTTTGCTGCTTTGAAATTGTTCCCAAGTGGAGGAGCCTGGGCAATTCCTTGCTGTCCAACAGCACAGGTTGGGTCTTACCTTACAGAAAGCTAAACACCATGTTTGGGGCAGACAGGAGGAGATTCATCTGCTTGGTTTGAAAGAGAAGATAATTATGATTTACAGTGCAAGATTTGCAGTTGAAGTGATTAGGAAGGTTTTCTAGGTTATTCCATCTACTTGGGGTCTGACTGAGGGTGAGCAGTTATTTCACCTCTCTGTATCTGTTTTCTCATTTGTATAATGAGGATAAAGATGCAGTGTGTCAGAGAGCCTGTAAGGCTTTATTTATGGGGAGTGATTCTCAGGTCTAAACTGAATCTGGACACGGAGAACTGTGCTGGGTTCAGCCAGGAAAGGGTTAAATCTCTTTACTGTGTCATCAGATGTACATCAGATGAACCTTTCAGGAAGCTATAAACATGAAAAAATACAGCTCTGAGTATTCACTAGAGCCTTAACCTGTGAACACTGGTCAGGAGTCCCTGATTGCCTTTCACCTCTGAGTAATAACATTCTATTAAGAGAGCAGCTCTATTGTTAAAGCTCCTCTGATCCGAGCTGGAGGGGTCTGCACAAGCTGTGCTGTGCATTGAGAATCACAGCTCAAAATGTGAGGTTTTAAATTTTTTTGTTGCATGTGCTTCCTGCGTGTTCCCTTCTCTTCTCCTTGTTCTCTCACGGAAAGCTCGTTTTGTGTTACATCTGAAGAACCAGTCTGTCTCTCCTTTTCCCTGCAGGCGAGTGAAGCAGAGGAGAATGGATCAGACAGTTTCATGCACTCCATGGACCCTCAGCTGGAGAGACAAGTGGAGACGATCAGGAACCTGGTGGATTCCTACATGGCAATTGTCAACAAAACCATCAGAGACCTCATGCCGAAGACAATCATGCACCTCATGATAAACAATGTACTTATTGCACTGTGGCCAGTGGAGATGGGGAGACAGGGAAGGGGAGAAATAACAGAGGGAGAGAAAGAATGAAGGAAAAACTGAAGGCAGCTTGGAAGGAGGAAGAGGTGGGGGCAGAGTGGAGTGTTTTGGGGAGGACAGTGGAAACTGATTCCCTTTTGTGCTTGTTTACAGACCAAGGACTTTATCCATTCGGAGTTGCTGGCGAACCTGTATTCCTGTGGTGATCAAAATACGCTGATGGAGGAATCGGCAGAGCAGGCCCAGCGACGTGACGAAATGCTGCGCATGTACCACGCCCTGAAAGAGGCCCTCAACATCATCGGGGACATCAACACCAGCACCATCAGCACCCCAATGCCCCCACCGGTGGACGACTCTTGGCTGCAGGTGCAGAGCGTACCATCTGGACGCAGGTACCAGAGGCTCAGGGGGAGAGCCCCACAGACCTGCCTGATGCCTCTTCAGTGGCTAGCTGGGGCCTCCGACTGAGACAGGGAGTCCTCCTCTTCCCCTCTTCTACTTGTGGATGAAGAGTTCTGGGTATTTGTGTTGGGAGGCTCCTAGGCCTTGAGCTATGTAGGGCTGCTGTGTCTTCACAGAGGATGTGGGGGCTCTAAACCCTTATGTTAGATGGGGGCTGAAGTGACTTTGAAGGCAGCCTGAAGCCTGGCATGGCTCTTGGAAGCCGAAGGGTTCTGTGTAAAGTGACGTAGAACTAAAGAAGGAATGCTGAAGGCAGCGTACAGGGACCTGCTGATGGCAGAGGGACCCCAGGCCTGTTGTTGCAGTTGAATTTCTCTGTCTGTTTGCCAGGTCTCCTACATCCAGCCCCACGCCACAGAGGAGAGCTCCGGCTGTTCCACCCGCCAGACCTGGGTCTCGAGGCCCAGCTCCTGGGCCACCTCCTGCTGGTGGGTCCACACTGGGTGGTGCCCCCCCTGTGCCCTCCAGGCCAGGTGCCTCTCCTGATCCCTTTGGGCCCCCACCTCAGGTTCCTTCTCGGCCTAATCGTGCTCCTCCTGGTGTTCCCAGGTAAGTCCTGAAGTGCTGGTCCACACAGGTGGGATATGTCTGATTTTGGGGTAGCAGCCTTGACAGCACTTAGCCTGCCTGGGCCACAGGGGGAGAATGGAGTGCATGGTGTGGGTACCGGCTTGGGATATTTGAATTGGGTCTGTAGGCAGGAGCATCGCTGTCCACTGAGATATCGTTGCACACATGAGGCAATGCTGAGGCAGCTCGTAAGAACAGAGGAGCAGCCTCTTCTCTGCGCAGACCTGTGTGCAAAGGATGGGGAGAAGGACCTTGTACCGAGGGCTTCATTAAAGCAGTCGTACCAACACCTCTGCTCACAAGCAGGAGGTGGTCACCAGAAAAATCACAGGACTGGAGTGACAGTTCCCCTCTGTGTAGGGCTCCCCAAAGTCTGAAGTTGTTCCTTTTCCCCTGGCCCAGAGCTCTTCAAGGTGAGTTGGAGAGACCTTCATCTAAGCTCTTTAGGTGCTTTTTGGCCAGGAGAATATTGCAGTATCACTGGCAGGGAAATAGATTCTTTTTTTAGGCAATTTCATTGCCTCTGTAAACAGCCTAGTGCATTTTCCAGTCTAGAGGGTTCAAATTACTCAGCTTTGCTTCCCCATTAGGAAACTTAATTCCTTTCCTGTGCACGCACTTCAAACACATTTCAGCATAGCAGTAAGGGATTATCCCTGTGCAGCCAAGGATGTGTTCCTAAACAGGATTTAGGAAGCAGTCTGGAACCAGGAATATTTTTATGTTGGGTACTTGGTCTCCCTGTGAGAAAGAGAAGGTATTTGCAGAGTAAAGAACGAACGTAACCAGAAACTCTTAAGTGACATGCCAGAGGGAACAATTCCCTCGTGGAAAATACCCCTTTTCCAGTGTGTGCTGGTGGCACATGTCTGAACCTTTGCTGTTTTCCGTGGAAACACCCATCCTGTCAGTGGGTGGTGAGGATACCTGGCAGCAGCAGTTCAGTCCTCCTCATGTGATGGTGCTGCCTGGTTGGAGGGGAAGTGTTCTCTGCCAGGCTGTATCCAGCTCTCAGAGATGGATGAGTCCAAACATATTAGAGACCAGTTTCTTGACTCTGGTGTGTGCAAATGGTTTTACTTTCTTGGTGCCTCTGCCCCAGCCCCTCCCTATGCACCTTGATGCAGCTCCACACGTGCCTCAGTGTTGTCCCAGGGACTGCAGTCCTGCTGGTGGCACCTGTGGATGTCAGCATGCTTCTCCTGTGTATTTTGGCTCTTGCTTCTTGTGACCCTGCTTTTCCATACACGTTGTGGTTGTGTTTTTAGTATACTTCTGCTTCTTTGTCTCCATCTTTCTTCCTTCACTCAGTTTCATTTCTTCACTCATGAAAAATATTCTATATACCTGATCATCATGATAGGATTCCCTAAAATAGGCAGAAATGAATTGGCCTTTTTGAAGAAATCTGTCATGGCCTGTCTTAATGGCTTTTCTGCCTTCTGCATGAGGTAGAAGGATTATGGGGAAGGTAGGGAAGGGCACTGGAGCAGAGGAAGAACCAAGCAATCCCTTGCTTTAGGAGGAGAGATGGTAGGTTGGCTTGCATGCTACTGACTGCCCTGATCTGGAGTTGAGAATGTAAATCTAGAGGCTGTGAAGTGATGCTCATTCTCTGATCCCACTCTCTGATTCTTCCAGTTGTTCATAGACTCCTCCGGATCCCGATACCGGCTTGTCATTTGAGTTCACTGATGAATGGAGAATTTCCAATGACAAGGGACTCTTTCTCTTCCTCTCCTGTATATAGAATAAGAATGTTCCCTGCTAGCACTTGGACTCGGGTCCTTCTGCCATGGGTGAACGAATGCCATCTCCATTGTTGCTTTTTTTACTACCCATCTCTTCCCTTGCTAAGCGGGCTGTGCTACCGTGTGTGCGTGAGGAGCAGAGCTCTTGTGTACGGCGTGAGTGGGCTTTGCTGCTGCAGGTGGTGGTGTGTAGTGGACCGGAAGTGAACGGTGGTGGCTGGATGTGCTTTGTGTGTGTGTGCACGCTGCTGCCTGTGTCTAAGTTTGGCAGTTTGTGACTCCGGTTTGTGTGAGCATCTGGTTTTATGGATGATGAACATAAAGACAAGTGTTGCTCCATTTCTTTTTTATGAATGTAATTGTATAGACACATTCGTCCACATAAAGACACCACACACTCCATTTTTTTGCACAAGAGTGTTTTCCTGCTTATAACTAAATACATTTAAAACACGACTTACCATCCTGCTCTGTATTTGGCATTTATTCAGTCTGCTATGGAAGTCTGTATTGCCAAATCCAAACCTTTGGGAGCTGAAAGTTACAAACAATACAAGTTCCTGTCTGTGTGCAGTAAGGATAGCGTTTGGGCTGTATGCCTACTGGAGCTGTGCAGGAGGATTTGCTCTGGGAAAGAGAACTATGAAGATATTTCTCCAGGTATTCAGTATCTTCAGTTTAAAGTAGTTTGATAAACTGTAGGTGAAAGAGCTTAGGCAAGCTTAAAGGAGAAATAAGGAAGTTTTAAGTGAGAATGGCTTAAACATTGGAAAAAATTGTTGAAGGCATTAATGTGTTCTCCATTCTTGGGTACATCAAAGGAAAAACATGGAAGTGATCAGCATCACTGTAAGCTTAACTTCACACAGCTGTGACTTTATTCTGGAGGTCAGAATAGCTGACACCATGATTTGTGACCTTCAAAATACAAGTTTTCACCTGCTTCTTCACTTTTTGGGTAGTGCTCAGGACTGTGTTATGTGTCTTTCCTGAGCAGTTTGTTTCAACTGTAGCATTTAGCGTGGTCAGAAGACAGGAATCCTCAGTGAGAGACAAGTCAGGCTGCCTGTGCTGAGACCCAGGTGTGCTGCTGGCCCAGCAGGTATGAATGTCAGCCTGGATGTGTGAGTGGGCTTGCTGGGGGCTGAGTGAGCAGCAGCCAGTAGGTGTGTGAACAGATAAATGGCTTTCAACACACCCTGTGCACAACGGGGCTCTGGATGTGTGTGAATCCTGCGTGGCCGAGTGCAGCCCTACCCAGCAGTGCACGCTCACGCCGTGCTCTGGAGGGGGGACGTGTGATGTATCTGTGCAGCGCGTGTGTCTCTGTTCCGCCTTCCTGACAGTCTGTGTGGCCTCTGCCTTGAACTGTCTGAACTGCCATGTTGATTTCATGTTGTCTTTCAGAATCACTATCAGTGACCCCTGAGGACTGGCAGCCACGGTACGTTTCGCTCTCTCCCTGCAATGCATGAGTCGCTGTGTCCCCATCCTCCATCACTCACCTCTGCTGCCTAGTTCTTGTACTAGTGACAGAGTCCCTTGTCCATGAACCACCTCTGCCAGGATCTCCTAAAGGGAGGAGTCTTGAACAGAAAAACTGGCTGGTTAGAGACGGAGCAGCTGCTTGAGCTGCAGGAGCTGGGAAAGCCTCAGTACCTGACTTAAGGTTACTAGAGGGCCCTTCCTCTGCTTCCAGATGGAGGAGGTGGGATGGGGGAATGAGCTCTGCAACGAGGTCTAAACTTGTGTGCCTTTCATTTGACTCGGATCCACGCTGACTGGGAGATCAGCTGAATGAACTCTTGATTTGGTTTGTCAGCTCTGTTAGGATGAGGATAGAGGCGTGGGGAGCTGTTAGTTCAGACTCCTTCTATTCTCCCGTCTGGCTGGAGAAATGCTCCCATCCTCCCAGTGTCGCTAGTGCTCATACAAGGCAGGAGTTTGGGTCATTAATGTCAGGACTTCCATGTCTGTGTGCAGGGTAACTCCGACATGAATGTTCCCTGTTACCCTTGTGTCAGAAGCAAACTCCCTTTGCTTGTTCTCCACTTGATCCTTTACCTTCGGGGTTACTCTTCTGCTTCCATTCAAACTGCCTTCTCTCCCCTGTGAGAGGAAGGGTTTAGTGACCCGTATCCCCCCAGACACCGCCCCGAGTCCCTGCCTGTTTCCCTTTCCTCTCTCTCCCTGCATCTTGCAGCATTGTACTCGTTGGGGGATGTCGCAGGGGGTTGGGGCAGGCTGCCGTACCGCGCTGGCCCCACAGCTCTTCCTTGTCCTGTTAAAGCTGAGGGTGGGGGTGTGAAGAGGGAGGCTTGGTAAACTCTCCCGAGTCTTTTTCCTGGGGAAACTCCAGCCCGTACTGACAGAGGGGTAGATGAGGCAAAACAGGGCAGGTGTGGGTGTGTTGGGCCCTTTCTCCCTTTCCCTGTGGATATTTCTTGAAGTGGAAGGTCTGACTGGGGTGGAGCAGCAGCTCCTGTAGCTTCCCTTGGTGGTTGTGGCAGAGGAAGCTGGGAGAGTGTGTGCTGTCTTAATAACAGGAATTCAAGCCCCTGTTCGGGGTGGGGGGAGTCCACATCCAGCCCCTCATCTTGCAGCACGTGGTGGCTGTTACTGCTGCGTGTGACTGCGGTTAGAGCCCAGCAAACCAACCGGGTGGTTGTTCAGTGATTGACGTGTGCCTTGGGGACGTCATCAGTCAGCCCTCCTCACTGATGACACGCTGCAGAGCTGGCGGAGCAACCTGCAGCTTCTCCAACACTCTGCCGGCTGCAGACATCCCCGACGGCCCTGGAAAGGTGCATCGTGGGGAACAACCCCAGGAAAGAGGCTCGCTGTTGTCTGTACCTCGCTCTGGGACTCGCTGTTATGGGGCGTTCTGTTCTCAATCTGGCATAAAGAGCACCAAGGAAATAAAAAACTAAAAACCAAAACACCACCAAAAAAAACCAAACAGCCCAAAAAAACCCACCACAGACCCTCTGCAGCCCGGGGGAATAAATGTAGTGTTTTACCATCTCTGCTAGGCCCTTATCAGAACCCTATTAGCCTGTTGGTTTCTAGATAACGATTATCTGCGTGTTCTGTCTCATTATGGCTTGAAAGACTGACTTGAGGGGATGTGACAGTCTGTGTAACCAGTCTCCTTGGGCTCCTGCCAGGACTCAGGTCTTAATTTCCATGTACTGGAGACTGCCACAGGCTTCCCTGTGGGCAAAACTTTGCTCCTTGTTGTCCCAGAAAAGTGACTCCCTGGTGATGTGAAAGGGCTCAGCTAGTAATGTCGTGAGACAGACTGAAGCGGTGTTTAGGGGTAAATGTTTGAGACCCTTCTCTGTCCCTTTTTCTGCTGGGGAAACATTGTTTTTGCCTTCTGTAACCTTACCAGGCAAGTGTCTCTGGAAAACCTGAGCAGAGACAAAGCCTGTAACTTTAACCATCCCTCTGAAATGCTCAGAGTGCTGAGAAAAATAAATGTCTGAAAAAATTAGTCATAGTACATTACCAAAAAAGCAGGCAATCTACCTGCAAATCATTTGTGCTCCTTTCAGCCCTATTTATTCTGGTAGGGTCAAGTGGCCCCTCTTGCCAGAACACGTTACGTAGTCCAGGCACTTCAAGCATCCTTTTTTGTGTAAATCCACGGAAGTTGTTACAGGACAACCTGTCCAAACTCCTGAAATGCAAAAGGCCCTTCAAGCTTCTCAAAAAGGAGGAAGAAAAAAAAAAGCCTTCTAACATGTGACAGTGCAGCAGCATCTCACTGCAGGTTGAGCAGAATTTGGTAAGGTTTGAATTCAAGTGCTGTTCCCGTTGGAATGACGGCGGTAGCCGTCGAATGGTTAACGGGGTTGCATTTACATCCTGAGCACCCTTCAGAGCTCATGCACAGATCCCACGTGTCATGGAACTCGGGTTCACAAATGGCCCAGCTCGAACGTCTCATTGCAAGCTTTGCTTCTTGGAGATACTAGTATTCCACTGTCCTTCCAAGGTGGCTATATTTTCCAGATTCGCTCAATCCCATCATTATTTCCTGTACGTGCTGACCGGGTCTTGCTTTCCCCATTGATGCTCTCAGTCAAGGAAATCTCCTCTGGAGATGTTTTGGTGTCTGAAGCTTTAAATGTATCATTTCCCAAGGCGAGGAACAAGTGGTTGTAATTGTTTTGAGACCTGGGGCTTAACATACGGAGCAATAAATTCTGCCATGGCCTGATGAACAGGACTGTGGTGTTGCTCTGGCTCACTTGCTGAGATGAGGGAGCTTGCCCCAGCCCATCGAGCGTATCTCCTCTGGTGCCAGCATCACTCAGACTTGGAGTCAGTGCGGAGCAAAGACTTCCTCACCTCTGAAGGACTGGTGCCAACCTCCTCTGCTGCTTCCCTCCCTCCCCTAGCCCCTGTGTAAGGGGAGGGCCTTCCTTGCCAGCAGTTGGCTCTCTAAACTGGAGCTTGTCAGTGTGGGGTTGTTCAGGCATTAATTCTGTGACACCTGGTTCTGTATGACCAGTGCAAATACTTCCTCTTGGTCTATGTCCTGTTGGGTTTGCTGTTTGCATTTCGGGCAGTTTGGACTGTAGAACGACTCTGGCTTGGGACTGAACGATCTAATTATGATGCACCGTCGTGATGCTGTTTAGGCTGCAGACACCACAGGGAGCATGCTTTAAGGGGAAAACCGATTGGACTCACTGACCTGCAGGACAGCTGTGGGGTGTATTTGTTGATGGCTTAAAGCTTGTCTGAGTCTGAAGTGGCCTTTCAAATAATGAGAGACAGCAGGGCTGTTGTCTGTATCTTCTGGGGTTTTGTTTTTCCCCAGTCCCCTGCAGGAAGCAGATCTGAGAACATTTAATCCATGCAGAGGGCAAACACTGTAAGTGGCTGCCCACCTACTGAGCTAGAATACCCACAAAAGAGCTGAAAGAGAATGGAGCAGCAATGGCCAAAGTTCTGGTTGTTGAAGCAGAACCTGCGCTTGCTGAGCACCAGAACTGGAGAGCCGCAAGCTTGCCCCCGGGATCAGAGTTCAGGATCGTGTATTGGAGCAGGGAATCTCAGGCTTGCAGCAGGGCAGGGGAAGAAGGTGCTCCTCCAAACCAGCCAAGAACCTCTGACAGCAGCGTGTCTCAGAGGACCCCATCCATGCTGTGTGACTGTCATGTGCTTGATACAGGAGCTCACTGTTTGACCATGCTTCTCAACTCTCATTCCAGAGCCAGCGCGCTCGCTGGCAGCAAATCTCTGCGCTTCCAAATTTCGGAGGGAAAGCAAAACTCTCCAGCGGATTGCTTTGCTGGTGGTCCGTGCTGTGCGGGAAGGCCGGCGCGAGGCCTGACAGGAGGCTGGGAGTCTCCTCTGTGGAGTTGCACTCTGGTAGTCCGTGCCTCCGGTTTTACTCTCTCGCTGGCTCAGGCGAGGTGGAGAAGCATGTGTGATTGTGACTGCAGTTGCTGTGCTAACCACGGTGTGTGTTCTCTTGTTTTTGTTTTCTGCTTTTTCACAGCAGAAGGGGCCCCGCCTCACCTACTCGACCTACCATAATCCGACCGGCTGAACCGTCCCTCTTAGATTTATAAATCGAGGCTGTAGACAGCTGGCGACGAATGCCGTGCTGGCGGCTTCCCCCCTCCCTTCCACAGCCACAGTCACTCCTCTCATCCATCCCACATCTCCGCCTTCCCGCCACCCCTTCCTGGTGTGTCGTAAAAACGCTAGCCTAGCGATCGAGCTCTTCGTCTTCACTCGTGCGTCCTGTATTGCTTTGTGAGTGTAGAGTAGCCTTCATGCAGTGGCATGGATCCCTGAAGTACACGGGCTCCTCGGAGAGATCAGCCGCAGGGACATCCCTCAGTCCAAGAGGCGGCTGTCCGTCCAGTCATTCACCTGCCTGGTCTAGCCTGGATAAGTGTCCTGCCTGCGTCGGTTAGCCGTAGCACCTAGGGCTGAGCTGTAGCTGTTTTCCTTTCTTGTAGCTAGGACGACAGCGTGACTTAGAAGAAGAACGCTGTCACACCGTTAGAACGGGTTAAACGTCCTGTGTGTTAGTCTGACTTCTAAGGTGCAAAAACTCACGTTGGGAACAGTGCAATCGACCTTATGTCAGAGCGAGGCAGGGAGGTCAACAAGGGTTGGGGGGGGAGCCCCGCGGATCGGCGTAGTCCTGCTAGAGTGAAGTCTGAGAGCGCGTGCGGGGAGCGCGCGGACCTGCTGGCGCTCGGCTCCCCGAAAGAGCCGGGGGGGATCCCGCCGGCGACGCACTGGCTCCTGCCGGCCCTTGTCTCACATCGTCGCTTTTGGCTGGCTTTTCCCCCACCCAGCAGGGAGAGGGGAATAGGTATGCCGCTCCCCCCCTCCCCGGCAAACGGACAGCCAAATGCTTTCAGGGAGTTTGCTGTGTAATGTTTTGTTGAAAATATTCCTGCTTTGGGATAAGCACATCTTTTCAGTGTGTTTTGGGTACTGTGGTGACTTCTTCCGTAGCCTTCTCTTGCATGTGGATGGTACGTGTTTGGGGAAACTTGTAACCGTTGTTGATCGCAACTCATCCCCTTGAGGTTTGGGTTTTACTTTTCATGCTACGTGTATTAAAAAAAAAGACTTGCTAATTAAAAATCTATCAACCCTGTGCATCTCGGATGTCATGTCTCTCCCAGAACGAGCCACCTGTGGTGCAGGTTTTCAGCCTGCCCTCATTCAGATTTAAGTTACCTTATTTCAGCGCTATTGCTCTTCATTTCTGTTGTGGATCCTCTATTGTTCTGATACCCTGTATTTTAACGGTTGTTTTACTACTTCTCCCTCCTTCTTCCCTTCCCCTTTTTCCTTTCTTCTTTGTTTTTCTTGTCTTTGAACTCCAGCCGGCCGGGTAAGGCCAGTCCCTCCCGCCCGGAGAGCCCAAAACCACCATTTGACATGTAGGCCTGCTCCCTCTGAGACTCTTTGCCTGCCTCTTAGCTGTTCTGTCCTGGAATGGTCTGACTCGAATCTCACACATGGCTTGTTTTGTTTGTATTTTGTGACACACCTATCAGATGTGATTCTAGTGAAACTGGGTTTTGTTTTGTTTCTTTCTTCCCAGCTGCTTAAAGGAGTTTAAACCAGTATATTGTAGTAATGAGAAACATATCTTTACTGTTATAAATATCTA